ATAGAATAGAATAGAATAGAATAGAATAGAATAGAATAGAATAGAATTCTTTATTGGCCAAGTGTGATTGGACACACAAGGAATTTGTCTTGGTGCAAATACTGTCAGTGTACATAAAAGAAAAGATATCAACAGTCAAGAATCATGAGGTACAACACTTAATGATAGTCATAGGGTACAATAAAAATTAGAATAGTATAGTATAGTGTAGAATAGAAATATAGAATAGAATAGAATGAATAGAATAGAATATAGAATAGAATAGAATAGAATAGAATAGAATAGAATAGAATAGAATAGAATAGAATAGAATAGAATATTGGAATGAAGAATAAAATAAGGAATAGAATAAGGAATAGAATGAATAGAATAGAATATAGAATAGAATAGAATAGAATAGAATAGAATAGAATAGAATAGAATAGAATAGAATAGAATAGAATAGAATCTTTATTGGCCAAGTGTGATTGGATACACAAGGAATTTGTCTTGGTGCAAATGCTCTCAGTATATACATAAAAGAAAAGATACATTCGTCAAGAGACAAGAATCATCAGGTGCAACAATTAATTATAGTCATAGGGTATAATAAGCAATCAAATGATACTAGGAAATAGTCAATATAAATCGTAAGGATACAAGCCACAAAGTTACAGTCATACAGTCGCAAGTGGGAGGGGATGGGCGATAAGGAGTGATGAGAAGATTAACAATAATAGTAGTGCAGACTTTGTAATAGTTGGACAGTATTGAGGGAATTATTAAGAAGTAGAACTACGAATTAATTCCACTTGAAATACATTTGGGATCCTGCTCTCACCAGATTCATAATGCCCCGCTTATTAATAGCAAAATTCACCGTTTATTTTTTTCCCCGATCAAAAATGCTAAAAGGGCAGAAAAAGGTACATGACTGGAAATGTCAGGTAAACAGTGAAGTTCAGTTTCAGAAAGAGCTTAAATCAGGAAAATCTGCATGCAGATAATCCTCGACTTACGACCATAATTGAGCTCAACATTTCTGCTGCTGTGCAAGGCAGTTGGTTAAGTGAATTATGCCCCGTTTTACGACCTTTCTCACCACCATTCTTAAGTGAGTCATTTGCAATGGTGAAATTAGTAAAACGGTTGTTAAGTGAATAGGATTTCCCTACTGAATTTGCTCTTCGGGAGGTCACAAAGGGGGATCATATAACCCCAGGATGCTGCAAAGGTCATAAATACGAGTCAGTGGCCGAATGGCCGGATTTTGATCACGTGAGCACGGGGTTGCTGCGATGGTCGTAAGTGTGAGAACGGTCATAAGTCACTCTTTTCAGTGCTTTCATAACTTCAAATGGTCACTAAATGAACTGTTGCAAGTTGAGCACTACCTGTATTTCAATTTGGGAAAAATGTGGGAAGCAGCGAATGAAAAGCAGGGTGATTCACATTAAAAGAAGTTCTAGACATATTTGGATGACCCGAACGTAACAAAATCCAAAACGTAAATAAGTGTCTTTTAATGCCTCCAACTTGGCTCCACTGTTCAATAATTCTCAGTTGGAGATAAAACTGATGCAAAAATAGTCTTCAAAAGAAAGCCATACAGTCCGAACTTAATGAGCAGATAGAGGTGAAATAAAAAACCAAAACAAACTACAATGAAGGAAATTCCACAATGGACCAGGATAAGTAATTACCAACTTCAAGGAGATAACAAGGCACAGTCTGTTGTAAGGATGCCAACCAAGATAACTTCAGCCCAAAATAAAACACGCTTTGCTTCTGGCAACGCTGTGTTTTAACCGTCTCTCTTATATACTAGTCTCCCCAGCTGCAATCAATGAGGAGGATCATGGCCGCTTCCTCTCTCGTAAGCCAAGTTGTTTCCTTCTCCGTTCCGCCCTGCATGTTCTAGGATGAAGAGGGGATGGACCTGGTTCTTCCTCTGACTGCCCAGCCGGCCTCTGCCCTTTCCCAGCCTCCTCCACAACCTCCGGAGCCACACCTCCATTCCCTGTCGGCTGTTCCTCCTCTCCCTCAGAGTCAGTGTCCACCAGGGGCACGACAAATATTTATGTTAATGGTCTGAAATTTGGGGATACAATTAGAATGGGGCTTGTGAGCTGCCCAGAGTTGCCTCTAGACAAGATGGGGGTGTGTATTTTTTAAAAATAAATAGTAAAACCCTACATTGCAAGATATTGAAAGTGGGAAAAGCATGGAGTGGAGACTTGGTTTCGGACAGAAAGCCACTTGAAGAGACCAGAAGCATTTGAAATGTGGATTTACGGGCGGCTGTTACGGATAAGCTGGGTTGACAAAATCAGAAACGAGGAGGTGATAAGCCTCCTGGGAAAGTCAAGGGAAATCACCAAAACCATTGAAAAGTGGAAATTAGAATATTTCAGACATGGGATGCGACACCCACATCCTTCACTTAATCCTCCAAGGAAAGATTGAAGGTCCAGACAAGGTCCAGGCCGAAGAAGAACATCATGGCTTCAAAATCTAAGGGATTGGTTGGTTTGGACAAAACTCAGCTGCCCTTTTTCATACGGCTGTTGATAAAAATAGGATCGCCAACATGTTCGGCAATGTCCCACGACAGATAGGGAAGGAGGAGGTGGAGGAGGTGGAGGAGGGGGGGAGGAGGAGGAGGAGGAGGAGGAGGAGGAGGAGGAAAGATTATGAAAGTTTCTATGGATTAAAAAAAACAGATAAACAAAAATAACAGATAAATAATGCTTTCGTATTGTCACATTCACAAGCTAGAGATGTCATGTTTTACAACATAATACAGCATTCACCTTTCTCTATAAAAGGAACGTGCCTTTTACCTGCTACTGACAGCATCTTCTAAATCTTTATGATGAGAAAAAGCAACTGAAAGATCTCTTAATGTCACCTTTTAGAAGGTCAAATTTCACCTTCTAGAACACGTTTGGCTCTAGAAAAAAATGGCTTCTAGAAAGAGGCATCGCTTTTCGATTGATTGCTTTTGCTGCAACCTACAGAAGAGGGTTTCTTTTGAGCTCCAGTATATAAGGTGCCCCTAGAGCAACAAGTCCTACCACGTGCCACAAATGGCCAGGAGTAGGTCTGCATCTGGTTGTAGCAGGAGGTTAGTGGCAGCCTACCTTGAATGTATCTTCCAGCATTGGTATGAAGCTAAGTTGGAAGTAGATGTTTTCATTCTGGACGTCTGCAGGATGAGGAGAGTATTCTGGGAATCTGCAAATGGAGATAGAGAAAGTCAGCAGAGGGAGACCAAAGGCAGCCTTGACTGTCTCCTCAACTGGAGCAGACAGCCAATCTGAAGAGCCAATTGTCTACCCTTTGGAAGGTCATCAATCAAGATGTTCTCCTGAACAAGCTCTATCAAAATTTGATGGGGACTTCCTGGAAATTACTATGCTCTCCTCTAATGAGGAGTCTGCCTCATCACTTATATTTCTGTTTTGGGTTTAACTATCCTTATTTTGGAGGAAGCTACTGAGATCACATGTTAGAGGAAGCCAACGTTGGCATCAGCTTGGACCCCAAGAACTCTTGACAAACTCTAGGAGGGGCTGCTTCCTTTCTAAATTCCAGAATTCATTGGCCAATCCAGAGAGCTACAAAAAAAAAAAAAAATCTAAGGGGAAAATATTACTTCCGGGTGGCATTTTTAAAGCTTTTTTAAAAAACTATGTTGAACTACATCTTGTTGGGTGAATTCATCTAGCTATTGGGTAATAAAAAGCTCAGTGGGTAAAAAGGGTCTCCAAACTTGACAGCTTTAAGACTTGTGGACTTCAACTCCCAGAAGGGGAGTTACGAGGTTCCTTCCAACTCTGACTAACAAGGAGCTGGCACCTGGTTCTGATGAAAGCTGGTAAATATGGAAATCATTGACTAGACCCCACATGGGTACAACAAGATCCAGCAACAAGTCTTAGATAAAAGTAATTCTTCCACCCACATATTAAGCCCTGATGGAAGCTGTGAAAGTGGCATGATCTCACAATCAGGTGGCTTCCTCAAAAGCTGCAGTGGTGGTTCTAAGGTGGCAGAGTAGGCCCTCCAGGTGTGTGTGTGTGTGTGTGTGGGGTCGGGAGTGGGAAATGATTTGAGCCCAGAGGCCAGACAGGGCTAGGCCAGAGTCCAAGGCTGCTTACCTAAGCAGGGAATTCAAGTCAATGAAGTGAATTAGAAGGATTAAGATCAAATTGGTTACCAAAGATTGCCTGAGCACACCTAGGTGCAGTGGCTGGAGGAGGCTTTATGAATGGGAAGATGGTGCAAACTCCCAAACCCCACAGGGCTACGGGGTTTGCTCATCTTTTTTCTTCCATGTTGTAGGTGAGAAGTGCTGCAGTTGAGCAAGAAAAAGGTTGGTTCAAGTGCCAACAAGGACAACGCAAGAAAATACAGCGCTACCTTGGTACTCAACTGCTTTGAAGCTCATCAAATTTGGTACTCAACACATTCTGACGTAAAAAAATATCATTTCTTTGGTACTCAAGGCACGAGCTATAACTTGTCGGTGTTGGCCGCCTTGTGACTCACTACATTATTCCTTATGGGTTACACAATGAGTACCAATAACTCATCGTTTTTTGTACTCGTGGCACTTCCCGGAACCAATGAACAATGAGTATCAAGATAACACTGTATTAGTGTAACACTGATGCTGAACTGGCCATAAATTGTGTATGTGGAAGGGACTAAACCAGAGGTCTAATTCTCGCGGCCCACGGGCCAATTGCGGCCCGCAGGACGATATCCTGTGGCCCCCAACGTGATATGAAAGTATAATATTAGTGTATAATATAAATATAAAGTATAATATAAAGTATAATATTATGCGGCCCAGCCTCACCCAGACTCTCCCTCCAGCGGCCCCCAGGTAAATTGTGTTTGAGACCCCTGGACTAAACCAATGTTTTTCAAACTTGGCAACTTTAGGATGTGTGAACCTCAACTCAACATCTTAAGAGTAGCCAAGTCTGAGAAACACCAGGACTAAACCAAAAGCAGATAAGCCAAATTGTGGAACAGTAGAGTATGTAAACATAGAAGAACGTATTGTAGACCTTCTTGGAACAAGATCCATCTCTTTAAGAAGGTATCGCTTACTCAAAGGGGGAGAACAGTGGCTAAGACACTGAGCTTGCCGATCAGAAAGGTTGGCAGTTCGGCGGTTCGAATCCCTAGCGCTGCTTAACGGAGTGAGCTCCCGTTCCTTGTCCCAGCTTCTGCCAACCTAGCAGTTCGAAAGCAGGTAAAAATGCAAGTAGAAAAATAGGGACCCCTTTGGTGGGAAGAAGGTAACAGCATTCCATGTGCTTTTGGCATTTAGTCATGGCGTCTACATGACCATGGAGACGTCTTCAGACAGTGCTGGCTCTTCAGCTTTGAAACAGAGATGAGCACCACCCCCTAGAGCTTGAAACAACTAGCACGGTTGTGCAAGGGGAACCTTTACCTTTTACAGTATACAAATGTAGGAGAACATATTGTAGACCTTCTTGGAAGAAGACCCATCTCTCTAAGAAGGTATTGCTTACTCAAATGGGCGGAACAATGGCATATGATTCTTTCAGCGGCAAATAATTAAATACTTGAGCCTTGCTGTGATCAGCAAACTTATCTGAAATATTTGCAATTATTCGGTGATCTTGATCCTACGTTGACACACCCCGGGCATTGACACAAACTCCCCAAGCTCCATCTAACCAGGAGTGGCCAACCATGGCAAATTTCAGACCTGTGGACTTCATCCCAGAATTCCCAAGCCAGCTAGGCTGGGGAATTCTGGGAGTTGAAGTCCACAGGTCTTAAAGTTGCCAAGGTCTGACAACCTTGATCTAAACAACCCATTAAATATGAGTCAACAATGTGCGGGGGCAGCCAAAAAAGCCAAATGCAATCCTAAGTTGCATTAACAGAGGGATACAATCCAAATCACGTGAGGTAGTCTAGTGAAGAGAAGGACCAGGAGAAACATGATAGCAGTGTCACAACATTTGAGGGACTGCCATAGAGAGGAGGTGGGGTCAAGCTATTTTCCAAAGCACCCAAAGGCCAGACAAGGAATAATGGACAGAAACTGAACAAGGAGAGAGATTCAACCTGGAAATAAGGAGGAATTTTCCGACAGGGAGAACAATCAGCCCATGGAACAGAAGTTGCCTTCGGAAGTTGTGGGACCTTCATCCTTGGAAGAGACTGGAGAGCCCATCTGTCAGAGATGGTGTAGGGCCTCCTGCTTGGGCAGGGGGTTGGACTAGATGACCTCCAAGGTCTCTTCCAACTCCTTTAATCATCTGTTTGAACCTCTTGGCTCAGGTTGAAGGCCCTACAATTCCCCAAGAGCTCCAACCTTGACCCCAGCACTCAAGGACAGAATTCCTTTCAAACGTGGAGTAACAACTCCTCCTTCCCTGAGAGAGGGGGGGGGGTTGAGTAAATTCAGCCCGAGAAGAGACAGGGATAATTGTGCTTTTACGAGCTGCTGCTCCCCCTCCCTCCCACCCACCCACCCACACACCCACTCTTCTCTTTTATTTTACTTTATTTATTTATTTTATTTTATTTTTTGCCGGAACCACTTGAGTCTGGCACGTTGCCGGCTGCTATTTTGAGAAATGGGTTCATCCTGTCCAACGGGGATGGGGAGGCGGGAGGGGGGGGGCACTTTTATCAGGCCAATTTCATGCTTGGTTCCAAATTCTGTGAGTTCTAACCCAGGGAGGGGGGGGCCGCGGGCTCCCTCTCTCCTCCACCCCACCCCCTTCCCCAATTCCTATTTAGGAGCCTACCGATTTCAAGGCTCAGCTTCCCAGCCAACTCAAATGGCTTTGGGCTGAAACGGAAGACGGGGGATGGAGAGGTGTTTTTTTTCCCCCTTTTCTTCTCTTTCCCTCATTTCTTTCCCCTTTTTCAGAGCTAAAAGTGATTTCAAAAGGCCTTTTTTCCCTCAAGCTTTCAGCTCACAAATCTGACCTACATTGAAGACAGTGTAATTTAATCACAATGAAAGAAAAGTTCCTTCATTCCACGATGCCACATTTTTAACCCTTGCCATGCTCCGCAGCAGAATTTTAATCAAAACAAGGACACACACACACACACACACACACACACACACACACACACATCATCTAGGAAAGCCCCTTATATACCTGAGCTCTGTATTTCAGTTATCAAAGCATAACTGTTTTCACACATAAGGCTTAGTGATAAAGTGTTGTATCTAATGTTTTACGATGAATTTATTTTACAATGGCTATATTATGCACCGGAACAAATTCTTTATGTGTGTAATCACACTTGGTCAATAAAAAATTCTATTCTATTCTATTCTATTCTATTCTATTCTATTCTATCTCCTATTCTATCTTCTATTCTATTCTATTCTATTCTATTCTATTCTATTCTATTCTATTCTATTCTGGCTCCTATTCTATTCTATTCCATTCCATTCCATTCCATTCCATGATCTATTCTATTCTATTCTATTCTATTCTATTCTATTCTATTCTATTCTATTCCATGATCTATTCTATTCTATTCTATTCTATTCTATTCTATTCCTATTCTATTCTATTCTATTCTATTCTATTCTATTCCATTCCATTCTATTCCATTCCATGATCTATTCTATTCTATTCTATTCTATTCTATTCCTTATTCTGTTCTATTCTATTCCTTATTCTGTTTTATTCCATTTTATATTCTATTCTATTTTCTATTCTAATATTCCACATTCTATTCTCTATCCTCTTCTATTTTTCACATAATCAAAATTCAGCTTGGCAACTGACTCATACTTATGACGGTGGCCGTGTCCTGGGGTCACGTGGCCTTCTGACAAGCAGAGTCAACGCTTGAAGCCAGATTCACTTAACAATCATGTGACCAACTTAACAACTGCAGTGATTCACTTAACAACGGTGGTCATGAAATGGGGCAAAATTCACGTAAAGAATGTTTAACTTAGCAACAGAAATGTGGGTAAAAATCTCCTCTGCTACATCAAGGAGTTGGAAAATGAAATGATTAATATTTAAAATTCCAAAAGGTATAAAAAAATATTTTAGGCCGGGAACTGAAAGGTGGCAGTTGTTGCGAGATTTCTGATGAAGGGCAATTCTCAAGCGAGGCTCCGCGATCAAAGAAAAGAAATGAAAGATGAAATGAAATGAAATGT